GGTCTGCCGCCTACCTCTGCACATTAGCCTCATGATAGGGTCTTGCAATGTCCAAGCAACAAGATACATGGGAAAGGGAGGTTCTGGCTGTTCCTCATGTTCAAATGAGAGTGAAATTCTATGAAATCAAGCTCGTAGAGAAGGGAAAAGACCCAAAGCCACGATATATAGTTTGCCATAAGTTTGATCATACCCAAATAAGATCATCAGACCAGCCATTCTCAAGCTGCCATCATCGTTGGTCAAATCTGAGCCATCCCTGAACTCTCCTTTTCGCTACAAAAAAGAAAACAAAATGTCTTGCCAACGCTGCTGGCCTACAGACTTTCCTTCACAAAATCAATTCGTTCAAATGCAGACAGTGAAGACATTATGCGATGGAGTATGCTGTTTTAAGCACTGTGCATGCACAGCTGTTTCAGGTCATAGTTGTATCCTGCTGTGCCTTTCCACCAACACAAACATTGTGTACTCTATATCCTTTTCTCCTGCTTCTGAATGTGTACACATTTGCATGTTTGCCATGAGGCGCAAGTTGTCTTCATTTATTTCCACCCATAATATACTTCGCTTGCTTTACCATCAGATTTCTCAGCGACAACGCTCTGAGAGGGTCTATTCCATCCACCATCGGCAAAATGAGCAGCCTCAAAACATTGTGAGTATCGGCAAGGAATCCAGAAAGAGAGCCCTAACCGACCTCGCACAGATTCGTACATACAGGGGGCTCTGATGGTGTGATTTGAGCAACTTGTTTTGAGAACAAGCATACAAGCTATGCTTGAGGAGGAGGGAGTCTGCACCAGCGCGAATGTGAATTGAGATCCTTTGGGGATGGAAGGTGCCCCTGAACTGGCGGAGAGAGGATGCAGTCATTCCTCCTGTGTGCCCACAGCGACCTGTCACTGTTGTGAGCCGGTCCATCTCGCCACTCACAGTGGTGAGCAGGATTTGCTGCAAATCTCTCCACATTAGCCTCACTATATGGTTCCGAAATGTCCAGGCGGTAAGATACATGGGCAAGGTTATGAGGCCCCCTAATTGAGCCTCTAGAGTTCATTTTTATGGACATTGACAATAATATAAAGGGTTGGTCAATCTGTCCATTAAACATCTAGTGTCAAAATGCTAACGTTCGGCTACCCCGGCACATCATTCACCATTGTTTCTTGCAGCGTTGTGGAATAATGTCGATGGTAAAATTCAGCAGCTTCTTTGTGTTGTGCTCACAATCAAGCACCTTTTAGAGTAGGTAGCTTATATCACAAATCACATATCAGCATGTCATGTTCACTCATCCCTCTCCTACATTTTAGTTCAGCTCTATTTTTTTTATTAGTTTCATGGCACCCTTTTCATGCGCTCTGTAGCAATGGCTTGCTCGTGCAGCCATGCTCATGTGTCCATAGATTGAGGTATTGTTTTTCTTGCTGTATTTGTTCCTGTGCGCCCATACACCCTTAATATGTTGTATCATTAGGTCTCTTGAATACAGCTCTCTGAGTGGGTCTATTCCATCCACCATCGGTAGCCTGAGCAACCTGGAGACATTGTGAGTATCGTGAAGGGAATAGGAAAGAGAGCCAACATGACTTCGCACATGTTCAGAAATTAGAGGGACGGCGATGGCGACAGCAAGTCAACTTGATTTGAGAACGAGCATACATGCTAGGCATGACCACGGGCTGGCGCTGGGTCGAGCTAGCCCGCTAACCCAGGGACTGGGGGGGGGGGGGCTATGGTAGGTCGGTTCTACAACAAGTTTGCCAGAGATCTGCAGTAAGGCGACTAGCTGTTGGGCTCAGACCATGATAAAACTAGTCATTGCACATGAATTTTCTGCAGCAAGCTGACCCAACAGGCCAGGCTAGTAATTGCGAGGCTGAGATGGACAAGCGGTACATGCAAAAAGGGCAGTCCGGAACGTGTTCCAAACAGGCTGGCCAAACCACGCTGTCCCACGCCATTCAATTTGAACTACATCATGACTAGAGGGTCCAAGCTCGGCCATATGAGCATTTGGAGCTGTTGGAAATGACTCACAAATGCAAGGCTCCTACAAATAGTGGGTTTGAGCATAGGCCTATAACCGGCTTAGTCGTTCCATTGTACAACGAGCTGACTGGCTGATGAGATGAGTGGGCAGCTAATTAGGCCTGTGGCTCATCTATGATACGCAAACCAATCGAGCCAGAACGAGCTTGTATGCCTCGCCATAATCTGTCAAATCCGCATAAATGTGCCAGTTTGCTGCCAGATGTATGTGGATCTTGCATTTTACCACCACATTCACATAAAGTAGAAAACTTTTCATTGCCTTATCCTTATGTAGTGCTCCTTCCAGTGGCTGTGAGGTAGGAACGAGCAAGAATATCCTTTTGAATACAGTGACTGCAGACCATATGTGCTCCTACTCGAACTCAATGCTACTCACCAGTGTCAGCTCACGTGTCAGGTGGGAGGACCCAAGCTTGTCATCTGGGTCGTCACCAAATTTCCCCCAACCCCACAGTAGCAGAGTTGCAGCCATCCCCCCAGCATAATGCAATGCAGCTGCAGCGAAACTCCGCCAGCACGCACCTCCTTGAAACGCAAGCAAAAAGCGCCCTCAACAGACCTTGTGCTCCACAAGCATGCGTGAGCTCATGAGGAACTTGCTGGCCTCCTCCTGAGCTTGCGATAGCCACAAGCTCCATCCTCTCCGCTACAGCTTCAGCCTGCCCGTCCACAAGGAGGCTGGCATGGCACCAGTGGCGGTGGCTGCGTCCTAGGAGGAAATGTGGACAGGGGAAAGTTCACCCAGGAGAGAGGTGCGTCCGGGACCAAGGGAGGTGGCAGCAGTGGGTCGAGTGTGGGGATCTGTGGCAGGAAGAATGGAAGCCCATTGCCGTGGTTCATAACTCGTGATGGTCCCATAGGAAGCTTCGTGTGAGGAGAAAGCGTATGCACCAGTGTAGAAAATCAGACCTATGTGCACAATGTGCACAAGGAGAAGCTGGTTCTGAGATGTTGAAAAGGGTCTACAAACAAAAGTTAACTGATGTGATGAATACAAGCAAAACAAAAGCTAAAATAGGCAGAAAATGAAGAGAGCTCGCTTGGAGGCGACTTGGGCTGGTCCAGGTGAGGAATTTGGTACCCAAGGGACTTGGGGTGGCCATATGGGTGCTCAAGTCGCCCACAGTCAAGATGGGGACGTGAGGGACCCTCAAAGTGGGCCTGGAAGCGCCCCCACTAGTGGAACCGCGATTCCACGAATTGGAAACGCGAATTCCAAGCTGGAGCCGCGTTTCCAATGTTGAAATTCGTGGGTCCAGGCTGGAGCCGCGTCCCCAAGGATGGGAAACGTGCTGGGGTGCCCCAAAGCCGAATTTGGGGTGCCTAGCAGTTGATATAGTCACTCAGGGGGGCACCCTATAACTAATATAACCCAACCCCTATTGTCTACACTATTATAATGTAAGCAAATACATACAAACCATAAAACAAACTAGTGAACTAACCTTCAGCATAATTAAAGGAAAATAAGTACCTAACAACACCCCCCCTTAGGGTGACACCGAGGGAGAGATCAAAGAAGAAATAGCAGGGCGAAGGCCGATGCAGGACTGTAGACGCTGAAGTGTGTCACGAGGGAGAGGCTTGGTCCCCAAATCAGCAAGGTTATCACGGCTAGGGATGTAGTGCAGCGAGATATGCCCTTTGTCAACATGATCACGGAGGAAATGGTGGCGGATGTCAATGTGTTTGGCACGGGCATGGAAAACACCAGCGTCCTTTGCCAAGACAATGGCGCTAGTGTTGTCACAGAGCAGCGGGGTGGGACCAGTGGGGGGAAGGCCGAGAGAGCAGAGGAGAGTACGGAGCCAAAGGGCTTCGTGGGTTGCCGCACCGAGCGCGTAGTATTCAGCTTCACAAGAGGATGTCGCAACTACACATTGCCGCTTAGATTGCCAAGAAATCAGAGAAGGTCCCAGAAAAAACAGGTATGCGGTGAGGGAACGACGATCCTCACTTTCGGAAGCCCATGAGGCATCAAAATACCCGACCAGCTGGAGGGAGGCGGGATTGCCACCAAGAAGCAGCCCATGGGAAGAAGTCCCGTTGAGGTAACGGAGAACACGTCTAGCAGCCAGCCAATGAGGATCCGACCAAGAATGGAGGTGACGCGAAAGGAGTCCAGTAGAATGGGCTATGTCAGGGCGAGTGGCAACCATTGCGTACATGAGAGAGCCGACCAAAGAGGGATATGGAAAGGGTTCAGAGGGTGGCGATAAAGAGCGTATTGGAAGGAGGAGCTTAGAGTCCATGGGGGTGTGGCTGGGGTTGGCGTGGCTGAGATTGAAGGTAGAGAGGAGTGCAGTAATAAATTTGGACTGGTGGATGAGGAGGGTCCGAGAAGAGCGGTCGCGGTCTAAGTGGAGGCCGAGGTAATAAGTTAATGGGTCAAGGTCACGAAGTTTGAAGCGAGTGGACAGAGAAGTCTTGAAGGTGGTAAGGGGAGAGATGGTGGTGGAAAGGATGATGAGATCGTCGACATAGACTAGGACAAGGAAGAAGTGGGAAGGATGTGGAAGAAGAGGTGAGGAGGGTGCAGCAATGAAAAGTCCGGGGTCGGCATCGGAGGTGTGAAGGCCAAATGTGAGAAGCTCCGATTTCAGTTTTTTGTACCAACACCGAGGAGCCTGCTTGAGGCCGTACAAGGGCTTGTGCAGGAGGCAAACTTGAGGAGAGCCGTTGGCAGGAGGGAGTTCAAAACCGGGTGGTTGGGTCATGTAAATAATCTCGTCAAGGTCGCCATTGAGAAAGGCATTGGAGATGTCGAGTTGATGCATCTCAAGATCAAGGGCAGCAGCAAGGGTGAGGAGCAAGCGAAGCGTAGCAAAGCGAATGGTGGGTGCAAATGTCTCAGTGTAGTCAATGCCCTCACGTTGCTTGAAGCCTTTAATGACCAAACGGGCTTTATAGCGCTCGATGGACCCATCCGGGTTCTCTTTGACCTAAACCTTGAAAACCCATTTGCAAGGGATAGGAGTGCAGTCGGGCGGTTTGGGCAAAATGCTGTAAGTGCGGTTGGCCAGGAGTGCAGTAATTTCAGCGTCAGCAGCAGCAAGCCATTGGGGAGCAGCGGGGCAAGAGCGGGCAGCAGTAATTGTAGGTGGCTCGTAGTGGGAATGAAGAGCAATGTAGGCAAAGTCGTGAAAAAAATGGGCGGACTCGCGATCTTCGTCAAGGATGGTGTTAACAGAGGGGTCAGAGAAGTTGAGCTGAAAGTCTTGGGCAGTCGGGGTTGGAAGAGGAGGAAATAGAAGAGGTGAGGAAGTGGGTGTGGAGGCTGGCTTCTGAAGGGAAGTGGGAAGGGTGAAAGGCTGGAAGGGAGGGGTGGGGAGTGTGGGAAAGAGAGGTGCAGACGGAGTAGCTGAGGGAGAGGTTTCTGCGTGTGTAGCAGGCAGCGGAGGAGGATTGATAGGGTCTGGTGAGGAGGTAGGTTGGGAAGGTGGGTGAAGTGACAAAGTGACAGGTGCGGGAGTAGGGGGTGATGGTAGAGGTGGTGGCGGGTGAGGAGGAGTTGAGGGGAAGGTTTCAAGGAATGTGACATCCCGAGAGTAGACAACCCGGCGGATGGAGGGGATATAAGCACGATATGCTTTGTAACCATCAAGAAGACCATAGTCGAGGAAGATGCCGGGAGCACTGCGGTCATGTAACTTGGATTCTCGATGAAGAGTAGGTAGAAGCACGGAGACAGGGCATCCAAACACGCGAAAATGGGTGACGTCGGGCCGCTGACCTGTCCATAATTCCATAGGTGTGACATCGCGAGGGAGTGAGCGAGAAGGAGAGTGATTGCGAATATATGCAGCAGTAAGGGCTGCTTCTCCCCACCACCCACGAGGAAGACCACTGCCATGTAACATGCACCGTACCATGTCAAGGATGGTGCGATTCATCCGCTCAGCGACACCATTTTGTTGCGGAGTGTATGGTGTAGAGACTTGTCGGGTGATGCCACGCGAAGCGAGGAAAGCTTGAAAAGCGTCAGAAAGATATTCCGGGGCGCCATCGGAGTGCAAGACCTTGAGATGTGTCTTGCAGTGGCTTTTGGCTTGGGCGAGATAGCGCTGAAATGTGCTAAAGACTTCAGAGCGGGATTTGAGAAGGTAGACGGTGGTATAGCGGCTGTAATCGTCAATGAATGTGAGGAGATAGGTGGCGCCGCCAAACGTGGTGCCGATGGTAAATGGTCCAGCGACATCAGTGTGAACCAGGTCAAGTGGGGCTGAGCTGGACGAGGTAGAGTCTGGAAATGGCTGGCGGGTCTGCTTCCCACGAAGGCACGAAATGCAGGTGGAAGGTAGGGAACCGATGAGGCTGATGCCGCTGACCATCTGTTTGGAATGAAGCTGCTGCAAGCTGTGTCCGTTGAGATGTCCGAATCGCCGATGCCAAAGAAGAGATGAAGCTGTAGAGCAAGATGCGGGAACAAGAGGAGGAGGTGCTGATGCAGTTGAGACCGTGGCCGGCTGCGAAGCTGAGGCAGGGCTGAGAGAAACGAAGAACAGCTTCATGTGCTCATGGGCGACAGCAAGAACCGTGGAGCCTCGGAACACTTGGGCAGGAGCATGAAGAGGGAAGTGGGTAGTGAGTCCTTCATCTTTCAGCTTACGAACAGAGATGATATTATGAACAGTCTGGGGAATGTATAGGACATCCCTCAGGGTGATAGGATGGGTATGGTTGTTGTGACGGGCGTAGACAAGAATGTCCCCAATGCCGTGGGCAGGGTACTGCTCCCCACCGCCAAACCGGACGCCACTACCAGGAAATGGTTGACGGAGGGAGGAAAATAGATGAGGATCATTGCAGAGATGCGAGGATGCGCCGGAGTCAAGGAGCCAGGAGGAGGAAGAAGGAGAGCTGGTGAGGACGGAGGCGAGAGGCCGCTGGAGCAGGATGGAGAAAAGGCAGAGGAGAAAGGAGATGAGGAGTAGTAGCGATGGGAGGGACGGCAGCCAAGAGGTAGGGAGTAAGTGCGCGGCGGTGACATCGGCATAGCGAGAATCAATCGAAGATGACAGTGGCGTGGATGACAAATGAGAAGCCGCGAGTGCTGGTGAGGTAACGTCAGAGGTAGGAGAGGGAAGGAGAGGCTGGGCCAGGTGGGCAGGATATGCCAGAGGTGGGAGGGCGGTGTGTGCAGCTGCCTTGTTGGGCGAGCTTTGAGCGAGGGAACGGAATGGCATCTGCTGTGGCTGTTGGGGCTGGTACGGCTGCGACTGTGGCTGGTATGTAGACTGCGGCAGGTATGGCGACTGGTGCTGTTGCTGTAGCTGCTGCCTGCGCTTCTTCTTTTCGAGCTGAGGGCAATTGGTGATGGCGTGACCAGCAGCCTTGCAATAGTGACAGGAAGTGGTAGAGGTGCTGGAATGAGGCTTGGAGGGTCCAGGTTGAACGACATAAGCACCATCAGCAGGGAGCGACGAATTCTTTGTTGCACGGTCCCACTCAGCATCCACGAGACGTCCCTCGAGCCACTCAAGGGTCATATCCTTTATTTCTTTGACCGAGCAAAGCGTTTCAGTAAGCGTGTCGTAAGACCGAGGAAGACCCAAAAGGATAGATGTGATGGTCACCCAAGAGGGTAGACTGTAGCCGCTGGTCTGGAGTTGCAGGTCAAGACCGCGAACATGGTCAAAGTAGGCCAGGGTCCATGCGGACAGAGAAGAGCTGACGCAGCAGGCCGATTTGAGCTTGATTGCCGGTTTTGGCAAATTTCTTGTTGAGAAGAGCCCACAACCCGGCAGCGGTCTCGGTTGGAGAAATAGACATCGAGAGCTGCGTGGGAAGCGTGGAGAGAAGGTACAGCAAGGCGCGCTGTTCTTGTTCTGCTGCTGCAAGGGCAGGGGTAGTAGCAGCCGGGCGAGCCGGGTTGGATGGAGCTGCCGGCGCAGCATCTGCCGTGGAGGCCGGAGCATTGGTAGAGGAAGAGGCGGATGAGGATGTGAGCGCGGAATCACCAAGAGCGTCGACGATGCCCACAATTTGGAAGGTGAGGACCACCATCCGCTTCCAATGATTGAAGTTGGAGCCATCGGGGAGGAAGGAGGGCAAAGTGAGCCTCCCCAAATGACTGTCCACTGTAGCCATAGTTAAGATGAACAAAAAAAGGCTATTTGATGGCTAAGCGTTGGAGACGAAGTACAGCCAATGGTCCATAAATATGGAGGAAAACCAGCAATGCTTCTAAAAGGTCGGTTGTGCACAATGTGCACAAGGAGAAGCTGGTTCTGAGATGTTGAAAAGGGTCTACAAACAAAAGTTAACTGAAGTGATGAATACAAGCAAAACAAAAGCTAAAATAGGCAGAAAATGAAGAGAGCTAGCTTGGAGGCGACTTGGGCTGGTCCAGGTGAGGAATTTGGTACCCAAGGGACTTGGGGTGGCCAAATGGGTGCTCAAGTCGCCCACAGTCAAGATGGGGACGTGAGGGACCCTCAAAGTGGGCCTGGAAGCGCCCCCTCTAGTGGAACCGCGATTCCACGAATTGGAAACGCGAATTCCAAGCTGGAGCCGCGTTTCCAATGTTGAAATTCGTGGGTCCAGGCTGGAGCCGCGTCCCCAAGGATGGGAAACGTGCTGGGGTGCCCCAAAGCCGAATTTGGGGTGCCTAGCACTTGATAAAGTCACTCAGGGGGGCACCCTATAACTAATATAACCCAACCCCTATAGTCTACACTATTATAATGTAAGCAAATACATACAAACCATAAAACAAACTAGTGAACTAACCTTCAGCATAATTAAAGGAAAGTAAGTACCTAACAACAACCAGCACATATTTGACCCGAGATCCATTCGGGGTGGAATTCGTGGGGAGATCCGGCGATTCCCCCGCTGCACCGATGTCTCCATCACCAGGGGAATCTTTTCCAAGGCTGGATTTGCTGCAGAGGCAGCCACTGCCGCCGATTTTGCAGCTGCAGCAACGGCCGGCAAGTATGGGGTCCAACCTGGTTGGCAGACCTACGCTTCGCGTGCTGCTATTCACACCTTTTCTCAGCACTGTGATGACAGCCGAGCAGGGGCTGACGGTTGCTGAGAAAAGGGGGATTTCAGGCTTTGCTAACCAAGTACACTTTTGCCCACATGGCTGAAGCACTGTGCACTTTAGCCCTGGCTGGGGAGGGAGACGGTGCATGGTGGTGACCAACATTGGCACAACAGATACGAGGGAAATCTCTCCCGCCCATGTGATGTGTCACCAGTCCAGTCCGCAAATCAGAGTGGTGACCTCTTGGGTACCGGGGGTCTACTGTCAATCTCTGCACATTAGCCTCGTGACAAGACCCTGTAATGTTCAAATGACAAGGTATATGGGCAAGAGAGATTCTGAATCTTCCAAACGTGGGCAGGAAATTGAGCGTGAAATTCTTTGGAACTGAAGTGGTGGGGAGATTCTGGCGCCATTCCCCCTATACACCAATGTCCCCATCACCAGGAAAATATTCTCCAAGGCTGGCTTTGCTGCAGTGGCAGCCACTACCACAGAGTTTGCAGCTGCAGCAACGGCAGGCAGGTGTAGGGTCGGCCTGATTGGCAGACCTACGTTTTGCGTGCTGCCAGACCCACCTTTCCACAATGATGTGATGACAGCCGAGCAGGGGAGGACTGCCGGTGACACTGGGAGGATTTCCATGTCCTCTATCAAGGTACACTTTGGCCCATATGGCTGAACCACTATGCACTTTTGTTCCAGGGCTATGGATGGAGATGGTGCACGGCGGTGACCAACATTGGCGGAGCGGGAGATCTCTCCTGACAGCGTCGTTATGTCAGCTGTCCAGCCCGCCACTCACATAGGTAACCTTGTGGGTACCAGGTTCTTCCACGGCCGATATCTCCACATTAGCCTCGAAATATGGTCCTGCAACATTCAGGCGACAAGTTACATGGGTGAGGATGGTTATTCCATACATGGGAGGATGATGAAAGTGGGAACCTTTGAAATCAAGCTGGCAGTAACGATCAAAGGCGCAATCTTACCAAGTATTGCGTCTATTAGTTCCATCATACACAAATCATGTCTCGGATAAAAAAAAAAAAAAAAAAAAAAAAAAAAACTGCCTCTCAAAACCGGTCAACCCTAATCTAATCTCGCCTTTCTGGCCAGAGCTGATGGCTGACGGAATCCCCTTCTGAAGGTCAACCTGTTTAAACGCTCGCTCAATTGCCAGCTGAACAAGATCCCCACCTGTGAATTTGTGAGCATAAGCAATTATCCAACCAGCCCTAGTATCACTTTTGAGCACACACGTTCCCTCCAGAGCTATGGAATCCTGCCTCTGACTCCCCAATGTGAGAGTGAGGGGAATAGCTGCTGCAACCCTAAATTTGCCTGCTTACTGTTGCTTCACTAGCGCTATAGGCTTCACTGTTGCTTTGGTGTGCTTGTGTAACATTCAGAACAGTGCCTCTTATGGTACCACAAACTCTGATCTTATTCCTCGGATGGAACTCTATGCGTGTGTACATCCTCAGGTATCTTTGGAACAACAAACTGAATGGGTCTATTCCATCCACCATCGGCAGCATGAGCAACCTTGCACACCTGTCAGTATTAAGGAAGTTTGATAAAATTTCACCCTTGGCTTGTATGGCTGTGGTTCATTCTCTTAACTACTGCTTCAGCTGTTCTTTGGCTCGTCACAATTTGTCAAACCCCCATGGGTATGCCAGTTTGCTGTTAGATGTTCGTGGAATCTACTGCCACACTCACATGAAATAAAAAGCTTCTTCTTGCCATATCCATATGTAGTGCTCCTTCCTGTGGCTTTGAGGTAAAAACAAGCAAGAAGATGAAGGTCATATACGATTGGAACTCAAATGGACGATTCATGGTAACTAACAACCATCTGTTCATAAGTGTATTTGATATTATTCTTTCATTTTACGTCGAGCATGACAAGGCTTCTCAAAGAGTTGACAGTATGCTTGTCGGCGCAAGTTCAGCAAGCAAGTTCTTGGATCATTAAGACAGCACAGTTCCACTTGAGTACAGCCAGCAGAGCAAGAAAGTTGGCTTGGGTTCATCACCGTCTTGGACCCCTGGCTTGTGATTGATGAAGAGGATCATTGGTCATGGTTGCCTGTCAAGTAGCAACAAGGTACGTCACAGGCCGCGATCCCTTCTCTTCAGTATGAGTCGGAATAACTCAACCATTTTGTAACCTGCTTGGTGATCAGAATCATACTGAACCATTTCGACCACTTTGTACACGAGAGCATTGCTGTGCACTTCTTCACCTACATGGTCTTGGATATGGAAGCGTTGTTGGTGTTTACAAGTGTCTGTGTGCACAGTTGCCATGCCACCACGCTCTGCTAAGCAGTGTGTATGCTCACAAGTTTCAACTCATTCTCGTGTCCTACTATGCATTTCCACCACCACTAACATTTTGTAATTTTTTATCCCTTCGTATTGCTTCTGAATGTCCACATATTTGCATGTTTGTGTGAGGCTCAAATCATTGCCCGTTGTTTTCACTTGTTAAAAGGGCTGTTTCTTGCAGCGTTGTTTATATAGTGTGCTGTTTTTCACTAGGAATATTTTCTTGCTGTATTCAATGTTTCTTTCCACCCATAAACCCTTTTGTATGTTGTATCATCAGGATTCTTGACCACAATTCTCTGAGCGGGTCTATTCCATCTGCCATCGGCAACATGAGAAACCTCTTTTGGTTGTGAGTATCATGAAGGGAATAGGAAAGAGAGCCAACATAACCTCGCACAGGTTCAGAAATTAGAGGGCCTGCAATGGCAACACCAAGTCAACTTGATTTGAGAACGAGCATACATGCTAGGCATGACCACTGTGCACGCTTACAAGTTTCAACTCATTCTCGTGTCCTGATATGCGTTTCCACCACCACTAACGTTTTGTAATGTGTATCCCTTTGTGTTGCTTCTCAATGTCTACATATTTGCATGTTTGTTTGAGGCTCAAATAATTGCCCATTGTTTTCATTCACTTTTACTTTTTGAAAGGGCTACTTCTTGCACACTGTGCTATATAGTCGATGGTAACGTTTAGCACCTGTTTATCAGGCACCGTTTAGAGTAGGTAGTTTGTATCACAATCATATTTCAGCATGTCATGAGTTCTTTAGTCCTTCTTGCTGTTTGATATCAATCCTCCCTCTCCTACCATTATGTGTTATTCTTGTTTGAATTTCATGGCACCTTCCCATGTGCTTGGTAACTAGTTTTTCACCGTATCTTTTTTTAACACATTTGAAGCCCTTTTTATGTAATCTTACCACCCGTAAAACACTTCGCATGTTTTACCATAAGGTATCTTAACCACAATGCGCTGACTGGGTCCATTCCATCCACCATCGGCAACATGACAAACCTCCAAGACTTGTGAGTAACATCAAGAGATCATAAAGAGAGCCAACATGACCGCTCACATGCTCATAAATAAGAGGCCCAGAGCTGGCAGTTAAGAAAACGTCTGGTCTTTGCTCAACTTGACACAACTTCCAAC